TAACTTCCATATTGCTCTAAATACTTTAAAGGAACGGTATGATAATAAAGCTCGTATAGTTAGTGGTTTAATTAAAAGGTTATTGAAGATTCCATCCCTAGTTAAATGCACTCCACAATCACTTAGAAGTTTTTTGAGTAATATAAAGCAAACTATGCAGTCTCTCAGTAATATGCAGATTCCAGTTTAGCATTGGGATCTTATTTTATTTGAATTAATTTTAGAAAAGGTAGATTATTACTCTCATAAGGCATTTGAGTATGAACTTGGTTCCAAGGAAATACCTACATTAGCACAGCTTTTTATATTTTTAGAGAAAAGATGTGAAATCCTTGAGAAACTGCATAGCTCTAATACTCAGACTCAAAAATTTAATTCTAGTAGTCATGCTTGTGTCACACATCTCTCTAGTCTTGAAAATAAACCAAATAATTTAAGATGCTTGTTTTGTTCTCAAAATCATAAAATTTATAATTGCAATGGATTCAAAGGCTCATTGCTTCAGGAAAAACTGAAGTTTGTAAACACAAAGAAATTGTGTAGAAATTGTTTGGGAACAAGGCACTTTACTGCAAAATTGTGGTTCGCAGTCAACTTGTTCTATCTGTCATGGAAGACATCACTCACTCCTTCATAGAGACAATCATATACAACACTCAACTGCTACACAAAGATCTCTTCCTCCTGAAGCTCACATGATCAGAAATGATAACCACTCTCTTAATAGAAACAATTCTCAAAATACTCTGTCTAATCCTCAAGCCTCCTTGTCTCTTGCTCAAACTCATGCTAATAGCACTAATAAAGACACTACAAGGTCTAATAATCCACATGTATTTCAACATAATACACCCTCTAATCAACCAGGTACCTCATCTCACTATCATGATCCTCAACAAACTCAATCTGGTTCTCACAGTTTTGATTCACACGGTGTAACACTATTCTCTGCACTCTCACTCACGAATGAAGTAGTATTGGCTACAGCGCTCGTTACACTAGTGGACAAAGATAAAAATTTAGTAAATGCCCGTGCTCTTCTTGACAATGGCAGCCAGACAAGTTTTATAACCCAAGAGTTGGTAAACAGGTTAGGTTTTCATTCTTATAATAGATTACTTAAAATTTCCACCTTATCTCAATCTTGTTCCACCTCCAACAAGATGATAGACCTCATTATCTATCCCCTTAGAACGACACAAAATGGATTTAATGTATCGTGTGCTGTACTGCCAACTATAATGTGTAAATTACCGCAGGTAAAGATAAGTAGGTCTCACTTAAGTATACCTCATGATATAAATCTTGCAGATCATTCATTCTCAGTACCTGGTAAAATTGATATGTTATTGGGCAATGACATATATTGTGATCTGTTAACAGATGGAATAATAAAACTTGGAAATGGCCCTATACTGCAAAATACACATCTTGGATATATTTTCCAAGAAAGACTACCTTTACAGTCAATTCCCAACTGTCATGCACATGTCTTGGACAATAACAAGAATTCTTCTTTCTCAACTCAGGTCTCTCTTTGTATCAATTCTTTGCATAACACTGAACCTCTCGATGCACTCATTCAAAAGTTTTGGGAGGTTGAAGAACTCCCTGAAAGTCCCATGCTCAGTCAGGATGATGAACTTGCTGAACATATCTTTAAAACCACCACAAAATTATTACCTGAAGGTAGGTTTCAAGTAGATCTGCCACTACAATCTTCAGCAGAGCCTAAAAGACTAGGCAATTCCTTTTATTCTGCAAGACAGAGGTTCTACAATCTAGAAAGAAAACTTGTAAAAGATAGCACAGTTTACACCCAGTATAAGAACTTCATACAAGAATATCTCTCTCTTGGTCATGCAAAGGTGGTACCTCTCACACTCACAAACCCAATGTCAGAAAACAAATACTTCATCCCACACCATTGTATTATTCGTGAGGAAAAGCTCACAAACAAATTACGTATTGTGTTTGATTGTTCCATGAAAACAAGCTCCGGTATCTCACTCAATGACATTATGTTGAAGGGGTATAAAACTCAACCAGAACTAATTGACACTCTCATAAATTTTAGAACATTTCTATATGTTTTTACCTCTGATCTCAGGCACATGTACAGGCAAATCCTCATAAACCCCACTCAAAGGTATCTCCTAAACATTCTCTGGCGAAACTCCCCTCAAGATGAGTTGCAATGCATCCAGTTGAATACTGTAACATATGGTACTAACTGTGGTAACTTTGTTAGCTGTAGATGTCTAGTCGAGTTAGATCGCACTCATCAAGGATCATATCCTCTTGCAAGTGATGCTATTCTCAATGCATGCTATGTAGATGACATGTTGTATGGTGCTGATGACTAAACAAATCTCTTAAAGGCATATTTTGAAATCACAGAATTATTGAACAAGGTAGGAATATCAGTAGACAAATAGTGTTCTAACTCTCAAACATTTTTTGAAAATGTCTCCTCTCGTTCTCATGATTCCAATTATGTTATAGCTCCAGAAAATGGTAATAGTAAGGTATTATGACTCTACTGGAATGCCAACTCAGATGTATTCTCAATTTCTGTACCTCAGTTCTCACAAGAATCACTCATAAAAACCACCTATACTAAAAGAGAAGTGCTTTCGCTGATAGCTCAAATTTTTGAGCCTGAAGGTCTCATTGCTCCAGTAGTAATTATTGCAAAATTAATAATGAGAAAAATTTGGCTTGCAAAAATTGATTAAGATGACCACCTCAGCTCTGAAATTTTAAAAGAATGGCTCAAATTCATTCAAGGTCTATCTTGCTTGCAGTCACTAAAAATTCCTAGATGTCTTTTCAAAAATAAAAATATTAGAAAGATCGAAATTCAGGGCTTCTCAGATGCTAGTATACAAGCCTATGCTGCATGTGTATACATTCGTGTTATTTATGATTCTAACACTTTCTCTTGTGCTCTTATCGCCTCTAAAAGCAGAGTGGCGCCTCTCAAAATTGTTAGCCTTCCCAGACTCGAACTTATGGGTGCGGTTATATGCTCAAAACTTACCCAACGAATTGTTAGTACCCTTAAAATCAGAATCCCACAGATTGATTCCATAAATTTATGGAGTGACTCAGAGATTGTTCTAGCTTGGTTAAAATCACCTCCTTCACGTTAGACTCCCTTTGTTGCCAGTGGCAACAATACAACAAAACTCAGAATTTATCTGGAGGTGTGTTAAATCCAAGGAAAATCCTGCAGATATTTTGTCTCGAGGTATATCACCGTTAGAACTTCCGAACAGTACACTCTGGTTTGATGGTCCACATTTTCTGTCCCAAGTTGATTTAAATCTCACCATTTTCAATTCAAAAAACAAAATTAATCACGTTCCAGAGGAAAGAAAATCTCAGATTGTCCATCATGTTCAAGTCTCTCCCTCATTCCTAGATGAACTCATTCGACCATTCTCTTCATTTGCAAATCTACAAAGAGTGATTGCTTATTGCTTAAGATTTGCTCATAATACCAGGAAACCATCAGAAAAATTCTCCAACAATCTTTCTGTAAGGGAACTCAAATCGGCTGAACTCGTAATTGTCAAACTCATACAAGATGACTCGTTTTCACAAGAAATTTCCCTTCTCAAAACTAAAAGGCAATTACAAATAAATCCCTTTTGTCCATGAACCCCTTTCTGGATGAACATGAAATGTTGAGAGCTGGTGGAAGGTTAAAATATACTTCTGTACCATTTGACCAAAAGTATCCTCTTCTCTTGCCTTCTAGGAATCAGCTAGTGAAACTTATGTTAAGGAGGGAGCATATTAGATTGTGTCATGCTGGTCCACAATGTACACTCTCCAACTTCAGACTAAAATATTGGCCTCTTGATGCTCTGCGGGAGATCAAAAGAATTGTTCACAGTTGTAAGATGTGCTACCGTTTTAAAGCTCAAACAGCATCTCAGCTGATGGCAGACTTGCCAAGAGAACGTCTAGTGTGTTCGCAACTATTTACAAATGTTGGAACAGACCTAGGTGGACCATACAATCTCAAAACTTCCAAACTTCGTAAGGCTCCTGTAACCAAATGTTATATTATTGTGTTTATCTGTATGGTCACTCGAGCATGCCATCTGGAACTTGTCTCCAATCTAACCACAGAATCATTTCTGCTCACCCTCAAGCGTTTTATCAGTAGACGTGGCAATCCCTCTGTCATATTTTCTGATAATGCAACTAACTTTCTTGGCTCCAAAAATCAATTCAGAGAATTTGCTCAATTCTTGCGGAACCAAGACACTCAAAAGTCAATAAAGGATTTTCTCGCTTCCTCTGAGATTACTAGGAAATTTATACCTCCTCACTCTCCACATCATGGTGGCATCTGGGAAAGTGCCATAAAACGTGCGAAGTACCATCTCCACAGGCTTGTTGGCAACCTAAACCTCACGTTTGAAGAATTCTCCACTGTATTAGCCCAGATAGAGGCTGTTCTCAATTCTCGCCCCCTCAGTGCCATGTCCAATCAGCCTGGGGATCTCTCTGTACTCACCCCTGGGCACTTTTTAATAGGCAAACCACTCACCTCTTTCCCAGAGTCCGATGTAAGTGAAATTTCCTCCTCTAGACTAAATCTCTGGGAAAATTGCAAAAAAATCCAACAACTTTTCTGGAAAAGATGGAGCACAGATTACTTGAATAGGTTGCAAAACCGTCCAAAGTGGCTCACCTCAAACAAAGATATGAAAGTAAATGAACTTGTCTTGTTGAAGAAAGATAATACACCTCCCTTATATTGGCCGCTTGCCAGAGTGATTGAGGTCTACCATGGCAGTAATGGCAAGGTTCGTGTTGTTAAGATCAAAACGAAGGATGGAACTTTCACACGTCCCATCACAAAATTGTGTCCATTGCCAGAAGAGTATTCTGTGTTTATATTAGGTAAATGTTACATTGTATTGTAAAGTGTGTTGATTAGCTAATAAGTGTAATATTTTTTAGGGAATAAGTTTACTCACCCATGCATTCTATGTTTAGTTGATAGTTTATTGTTAAGTGTTCTCTAGAATTAGGTTTACAGTATATTTCATCTTCTGTTAATCTAGTAACTTTGCTCTTGTTGTTGTCTCTTGTTGTTTTCTCTTGTTATATCGTTAACTATTTTATTATTTGAAGCAATGCTTCAAGGCCCGGGAGTATGTTGGAAAACCAACTAATTCTTTAACTGTTTCAATTTAACCTAACGCCATCTCTGTTTCTGAATAACACATGTTAGCCCTTATTAGTTAAAAGAACCAGAAATCTTCAGCGTATTTGACGCCCCTCATACACCCGCTGACCCTTTGTCATTTGCCCAAGCTGGCCACATATTGCATACAAGCATATAAGGGGCATAAGGGCAGTCGCATTAAGTAGTTCAAGTTAAGAAGTCGCTAAATAAGTTATTCTCTCTCCTCGTTTCTTTCTCACCCGTATCACACAACAAGATATATTAATATATTACAAGTTATATTATAAGTTAGTTTAGTGTTGCAAAGTGCAAGGTGTATATATGTAAAATATTTTACAAGTAAAATAAAGCGAAGAAGTAAAGTATAAGTGTATAATTTCACCCCCACAAGAGTAACAAAACGAATCAGCAACCTACGCTTAAATCCTGTAACAAATCAAGACAGGTCACCACAAGGGTTTTGGTGCTCTCAGGGAACGTTGAAAATAACCCCATCGTTTCCCTTTAACATCGTATGCATAAAATTAAGCTAAATGCTTTTGTGTAACCCCTCCTGTATTCAGAAGTATTCAGGTTTGTTATTTACAACTTTTGGTATTGACGGCGATAGTTTTAGGTGTAATTTTTAACATAACAAATTTGTATGTCTCCTGAATTGCCTGACTTTTGACAACCCTGACAAAAAATTAGAAAGACAAAACTGCAACAATATCATGCTAATGATGACAGTGATCTCGAAACGTAATTTAACTAAATAAAAAGTTTCATAGTTTCGAAAAGAGTTGGGGGACAGATGACGTGCTGAAAAAATCAATGGATTATTTGTGTGATTTATTGCACTTGTGCCTAGGATTATTATCAATTATGTTAAAATATTATATAAAATACTAAAACATATTGGTTTTTGTTAATAAGTTGGTAAATATAATACTCAAATCTTATATCTTGATTTATTATATTATAAGATATTTAGGACGTAGGATGTGTATTATTCAGATATCAAATTCAAATTTATTTATAACCCGTGTCAACGCTACAAGTGTTCGTACGATAGTAAACGTAGACAAAATCCATTTTTATCCCACAACAAAAACCTTTATTGTTTTCACGACGTTTTTCCAATATTTCAAAAACATCTGGTTGATATATGAAAGGGCGTAGAAAAAATCCGCTATATTTTGAAGTCTCAGGCCAATTATATGTCAAAGCATCAATAAAGTATTCTTTTATTCAGCCACAAGTACTACAAAAAACAGTTGAAATTTGTGAAGCACAAGAAACAATATCCTTTTTTCCGGCTTTGTAAGCCAACCAATTCAGGGTCGGACTCTTTCATTTTATTAGGTAAAATCGTTAATCCCTCAAAGGAGCTTTTACACAAACATTACTTAAGGATTTAACGTTAAAGTCGTAATTATTATAGTGTATTTTTATGTATGAGAGAGTAATAAAACAATAAATTATGTATGCAAATCCCTAAACTGTTGATACGGGTGACTCAATGAAAAACAGATATTTGTCAACAAGTTTACAGAAGTATATAGGAAAACAATTTTAAATTGAGTATGACGGTTGAGGTATAAAGGTTGGAGCAGAATAGAATACAATAGTTGTGAGGGTTACTAATCCCTAAATAAGGTTGCCAGTGTCGGAGTGATGAAGGTAAACAGGTACTAATGCATTTGCAAGAAATATAAGATGTTTATTTTATTGGTTATATATAACCAATAAAAATTTAATAAGTACCTACCTATTTGCAAAATAAAGTTTAATTCTTTAGATAAAATAAAACGTTTTATTTTATCTGAAATGAGTGCATTCCACGAAGTAAGGGTTTCAACAATCAAACATTTAATTCTTTAATTCCAGGAATCTACGACAGTAATTGACTAGATAATTACCTTCTAAACTTATTCCACAGAAAATGTGATAGTGGGTTTTTCCATTTTGTAGGAAGGTCCAAGTGGCGTATTCAAAATTCTTAACAGTTCACTAAAAGTAGGTACTTCAGTTGCAAGGTGCAGTTTATTGTGTATACTGGTGTTATGGAAAATTTGGAAGTGCCGTGTAAACGCCGAAAAATTGGTCCTTTAACAGTTAATGAAAAAACATTAATATTTAATTGTTTTAAATCATTTACAGACAAACGTTTATGTAAAAGTGTTGATGAGACCGTTGAGTTAGTTAGCAGTATATTTGGTGTTGGGAAATCTACGATTTACAGAGTTATTAAAGAAGAGAAATGTGATAGTTTTCAGATGCCACGTAATGCTCCAGGGAAACCAAAATTTCAAATAGAATATCATTTTAAAGAAGGACTTCGACGGAAAGTGCATGAATTCTTCTTTAGACAAGAATTTCCAACATTGGATAAAGTTCTTGTCTCAGTTCGAGATGATAAGGATTACCCAGAAATGAGTCGAAGTACGTTATGGAAATTTTTAAAAGAAATAGGCTTCCGCTGGAAAAAGAATCCCAGAAAGTCTATTTTATTAGAAAGAAGCGATATTGTCATATGGAGAAGACATTTTCTAAGAACCATAAAGGAAATGAGAAACCAAAAAAAAATATTTTATGTTAATGAAACATGGATCAACGAGGGTCATACACCAAATAAATTTTGGCAGGATGAAACTGTTACAAGTCAAAAGCATGCTTTTGTAAATAACTTATCTACTGGTTTAAACCCACCATCAGGAAAGGTACGCAGGCTAATAATAGTACACATTGGCAGTTCAGACGGTTTTGTTGAAGGTGGTTTATTAACTTTTGAATCAACTCGTACCGGTGACTACCATGAAGACATGAACGCTGATGTCTTTCAAGAATGGTTCGAACAAATGATAGATCTTCTTCCTAAGAACTGTGTAATAGTAATGGATAATGCAAGTTATCACTCCAGACTTATAGAAGGACTGCCCACAACCAAGTGGTTAAAAAAAGACTTGCAGAATTGGCTGAGTTCAAAAAATATTACGTACCATCCCAGATCTATAAGAAAGGAACTTTATTCGTTGTGTGCCCTTCATAAAGAAAAATTAAAAAAATACGAAATTGATGAAATTGCCAAAAATCGTGGAATGACAGTACTTAGATCCCCACCATATCATTGTGAATTAAACCCGATTGAACTGGTATGGGTACAGATAAAGAGTGAAGTTTCAAGAAAAAATACCACTTTTAAAATTCATGATGTTAAACAGTTGTTTTTGGAGGCCGTAAATAATGTAAAACCTGAAAACTGGGAAAAGACAGTAAATCACACTATTAAAGAAGAGGAAAAAATGTGGAAGCTGGACAATATTACTGATAGAATGATCGAGCCAGTTATTATAAATCTTGGTTCTGAAAGTTCATCTTCTGAATCTGATTTGGATTTGTAACAAGTAGCTGTAAGTTTTATATTAATATTTTTATTCATCTATTTAACATACCTTAGACGGTTTTAAAAACTCTTTTTCTCTTTTGTAATTTTTAAAAATTAAAAAAAATGTGAATATTTTAAAACCCTTTTTAATGTAGGCCAATCAGTTCTAATATAGTGTGTGATAAAAGAGGTCACTTTTGTTTACATACACATAACACTTTATAACACTGAAATAATTCATTTATTTTTTACAGTTATTCAAAGTAATTTTTCAATTAATCTTGAGCACGCCCATGGAGTGGTCGGAGATACCAGTTAAAATTATGCTCATTACTCTCTCGTTCATAAAAATAAACTATAGTGTATAATATATTTTTTTGTTTATATCTTTTGTATATGATTATAACAATAGGTTTTATTAAAATATTTTTTTTTAAATAATAATATTATTATACAAAAACTTACAAAGAAGTAAAAACTTCTGGTATATAATGGTATATTCTTTTAGTAAAGAATAAATAAAATTTATCCAAAAGGATTACGATCTTTTTCAAAGAGTTTTTGGTCCAGTCCGGGTGACCATCATCAGTAATTCATTTAAAAAGTAGTTAAAACTAGCTACTGAAATAGGTTTACAAATCTTTAAATTGAAAACAAATTTTTAAAGGCAACATCCTTTTTCAATGTCGAAAAAGGGAACTAATTTGACCACTGGGAATAACAAACCACCTGATATACTGTAAACAATGTATAAAAAAGTCATGCATATATAGTGTGAGCCTTGTAGATTGTCTTCTAGGAAAGTAAGTTTATGAATTTTAAAAAGGAAAAGACAGTTAAGATTTAATTTCATGTATAATGCGTATCCGCTTATACGTATTTCGGCCTAATAGGCCTCTTCAGAACGGCAATTGACAGTCCCTCTGAACGTGAAAATAAATCTCGTCTGTCTAAGGAAGCAACTCTAACATGACGTCGAATGGACGCAAATAGCGACATCTGATATTAAATCCGTAAACTAATATTCGAAACCAAATTCAGATTTTTGCTTTAATTTGTGGCTTCTAAGAATTACAAGCCAAAACACATTATTTTCACGTTCAGAGCGACTGTAAATTGCTGTTTTGAAGAGGCCTATTAGGCCGAAATACGTATAATACGTAACATATGTATAATACATATAATAGGTATAAGCGGATACACAGATGCACTGTACGTGAAATAAAATCTCAACTGTCTTTTCCTTTTTATTCCGATTTACTCTGTACTCGTACTAGAAACCAATTCGCTAAGGATTTTTGCTTAGTTGAGGAGATATTTTGTGAAATGAAAAATTTTAGATATCCCATAAAATGTTTCTAAAATTTATACCTCTACAATAGCCCTTCTTAAAAACAAGAATTGTACTGCTTGTCCACGACTTGT